TAACTCTCACCCCGATAGCTATTTTATCTAAGCCTTTCCAAAAGAATCGACAACACATCTGTTCAATCTTGCTGATTACAGAATGTGGTAGCAGTAATTGCATGCACCAATAATTAACAATGTTGAACAACACTGCTCTGATAAGCTCCAATCTTCCTGCGTAGCTGAGATGTTTAGTAGACCAGAGAGAGAGCTTTGAACTGATGCTATCAATAAGAGGTTCACAGTCCTTTACCGAGAGCTTTCTTGATGTTAATGGGACTCAAAGATATCTAACAGGCAGAGAACCAGGATGAAAACCAATAGCTTGTTTGATAAGATCAATATTTCTGGGTGAAATTCCAGCACTAAAGAATACACACTTTGATGCATTGAGATTTAAGCCAGATATTTCATAAAAATGTTCAAGAACAGAGATTACACCTATAACAGAATCCACATTTCCTTTACAAAAAATTACCAAGTCATCAGCAAAGGATAAATGTGTGAGACCAATTCATTTGCATTTCGGATGGAAGCTAGTCTTTTTTTTAGCAGCAACAAAATTCAGTAATCTTGAGAGGACATTCATTGAAATAACAAAGAGGAGTGGAGAGAGAGGGACACCTTGCCTTATACCTCTAGCTCCCTTGAAGTACCATATCAAACTTCCATTGAATGAAATGGAAAACCTGGCATCAGTGAAGCAGGCTTCAATCCAAATAATAAATTGCTGAGGGAGGTTTAAAGCTCTTAGGACAGTTGAAATAAAGCCCCAGTGCAGAGTATCGAAAGCCTTTTGAAGATCAATCTTCAAGGAACATCTTGGTGAGATGTTTTTCATGCCATAACCTTTGACCAATTCTTGAGCAAGGATGGTGTTTTCAACAATGCTTCTTCCTTTTATAAAAGTTGTTTGGTTTAGGGAGACAATATCAAGAAGAAGACAAGTTAGTCTCTTGACTAAAATCTTTGTGAGAGTCTTGTATATAATAGAACATCAAGGTATTGGCCTGAAGTCTTTGACTTTGCTGGGATTGGGAATTTTAGGTATCAAAACAAGAGTTGTTGCATTGAAGGCAGTGAGCATGGAGGATTGCTAGAAAAAATGTTTAACTGTTGCCACAACATATTCATCAATAATGGACCAAGAGTATTTGAAAAAGTGAGGAGAGTATCCATCAGGACCAGGGTGGTCAAAAATGGTTTCTTTAATCTCTTCTATGGTTATATCCTTGATCAGAGCAGAAGCATATTCTGAGGAAATGGAGTAGTTCAGAAGCTCTTTCAAGAATTGCAGATTACCACCTTTAACCTTAGGATCAACTTTCCCAATCAGATTGTAAAAGAAATCAATTACTTCAGAGGTCATAGCATCAAAGGAATCAAGTCTGGTTCCCTGGTCATCAGTGAGCATTTGAATTGTATCCTTCTTATTTTTTACAGCAATAACAGAATGGAAGAATTTAGAGCATTTATCTTCATCTTTAATCCATTGCATCTTGGCCTTTTGTTTCAAAAACATTAATTCGACTTCTTCAAGATTAAGTAATTCTTGTTGTATCTAAAGTTCCTTGTCAAGAGTGTCTTCTTCTTTCAAAGAGAGAAGTTGTTGCTTTTCTAATTCCATTTTCTTACACTTAACTCTTGCAGAAATGTCATTATAGTAGGAGATGTTTAAATTCTTGAGGTGAGAGGCGAAACCAATGGGGGTTGGGCTCGGTTGAGTGGCCTCTTCGGTTGTCCTTGCCACGGTCGACGTACGTAGGGGAAGAGACCATCAAACTCGGCCGCCGGTTGGTACTGGTGTCACGAGTGGCGCCGGCGTGGGGTTTTTAGGGAGGCTGGGGATAGTGCCTTGGAGAGAAAAAAATAACCAAGGGTTGTTTTTTAGGTTTTTTTTTATTTTTTACCCAAAATAGAAAATATCTAAGCTATATAATAAAGCCTGTGGGTTATTCACGCTAAGGTTCCTATAGATTTAGCTCCCTTTTGCATTCTAGTCACTAATATAGGGAAAATCATGAAATAGTCCCCCTACTTCTGTCTTCATTTTATATTTGGTCAATATGCTCTATTTTGTTTTAATTTGTTTTGATTTTGATTTTGATTTTGGCTTTTTCTTATTATGATCCAAACTTTACTAATTTCTAACAACTAACTTTTCTAACTTATAACTACTAACCACTAATTTTTACTTTTATGTTCGAATTATTGGTACGACTTTGCGATGACCCACCCCGGGGTATGACTCACATTATTTACAGTCCAAGTTAAATATTAAAATTAACACTAACGAATTTTATTTTTATTACTCTTTTTATTTCTACTATTTAATTTTTATGCACCTTTAAATTTGTGCTTTTTATTTTCCTTTATTTTATTTTAGTCCATAAAATTTTGGCTCTTATCTGTTATATTATTGATATTCCCTGCTTTGGACCCTCAAATTGGATTTGGATACCCGTTATACGTTTTGCGATTTGTCGGTGATTTTTTAGTAGCTTGATCACCTTTTGTGGTTTGTTTGTCCATGCGATCAGATATGTTTGTATCTATATTCGTTCGAGTTTTCTCTGTTAGATTTTAATTTTCCTTGTATGATCCTCATGTGATATTAAATTGCTAGTTTTGTTTCAATAATTATAGGAAATTGTCTTAAATATATGCTTAATTTATTATTATGATTGTAAATCTTTATTGTAATTTGAGATATTTCTTATTTTGAATAAAATTAATAATTTCTTATTTTGAATAAAATTAATAATTTCTTTTAAAAAATGTTAGTAAATGATATGAGATAATGTGATATCAAGAGTTTATGTTTATATAGAAGAATATAAGATTTAGGAATTAAGGATTACTTATTTTAGAATGTAGAGTTTAAAATTCAGAGTAAACTATATATATATATATATATATATACAAAACTTAAATTTAACTTTCTTTTTAATCTTTTATAAATTAGTGTTTAAATATATATATATATATTCTATCCAAAAATTAACCAAATATAAATTTGCTTGAGTAATTTTGTGCTGTAAAGTTTTATATTTAGCCTAGGTTCGAATCTTGCCATAACCATTTTTCTTTCCTTATTTTTTCTGGTATTAATTAAAGTATAAAATATATATACCAGTGTACGTTTACCAACTTAAACAGACAATGATCCAGGTTCAAGTCCTCTCAACCGCATCAAATTACCTTTTTTCTGCCATAAATTATACTATAATATCTAAACTATGTTGAAAAGTTTTGCCTGTTATAGTTTGTCTTGATGGTAAAGGAACGCATATCCCATCCTCTTGGATCGTGAGTTCGATCCCCAACAGCTGCTCTTCTTTGTTATTTGTTATTTGATGCTATTCAGGCTGGTGTTCTCAAATAATGTTGTTGTATTTTTTTTTTTGAATAGGTCACTCTTGAAATTATTTCGTGAAATAGAGTGAATGTTAGTAAATTCGAAGACGCATTTGAGTCTAAGCGACTTATACATAAATATGAGAGTGCAATGCCTCTCCCATATTTTTAGTGCAATGCCTCTCCCATATTTTTTTTCACCAATTTCATTCTTATGTAAATGTACAAAGGGTAAATTACACAATTAATCATTAACTTTATTCTCTCTCCAAATTAATTAAATATAACTGCACTGTTTTGGACAACAATTTCAATTAAAAATTATGTAAGCACGATGTTGGTTTCTTTAGTATACAAATTCAATGCTAGAGCTGATGGATCAAATTGGCTTCCATATAACAACTTGAACAATGGTCGATGAGTGGTCAAAATATGAGTAAAACAAAAGTTGAGTGATTAAATTGAAAAAATTAAAAGTATAGTAAGTGAATTTGGAAAGAGAGTAAAGTTGAATGATTAATTATGCAATTTAGCCTAAAAAAATATGGGAGACGCATTGCACTCTCTGCGTCTCCCATATTTTCAAAGGGTAAATTACATAATTAATCATTCAACTTTACTCTCTCTCTAAATTCACTTATTATACTTTTAATTTTTTTTTCAATTTAATCACTCAACTTGTGTACTAAAGGGTAATTTTTTCACTTTTTCATAAATGTACAAAGGGTAATTTTTTTTGGAGTCCAAGCATTGAATTTGTGTACTAAAGAAACCAACATCGTGCTTACATAATTTCTAATTGAAATTGTTGTCCAAAATAGTATTATTATGATAATATCTCGTGAATTTTTAATAAAAAATAGTTTTATAATTAAATTAATGTCAAAATATTCGTAATACCAATTTAAATTGAATATTTAGTAGATATAAAGTTTATATATTTACACGACTAACATAAAATATGAATGATTAATTGTGTAATTTACCCTTTGTACATTTACATAGTGAAAAAATATGGGAGACGCATTGCACTCCATGCGTCTCTCCCAGTAAGTCTCTTCAGATTTACTGTAGCATTCACTCTATTTCACGAAATAATTTCGAGAGTGCCCTATTCGAATAATTTTTTTTCCAGTTGCATTATTTGAGAATTCAGCCCCCTTCAAGGGTGAAACGTGTCATACATAAATTAAATTAAGACTAAATTGATAAAATATATAAATATTGATTATCAAATATTTATATTATATTTATTAATTGGTTTATTTGAATGCATTTAATAGTTTGGTGACTTGATTGATAAAAATTTAAAAAAGAGAGGTTAAAGTGAAAATATGCAATTTAAAAAAAGAGAGGCTAAAGTAAAAATGTGTAAGTTGGGTTAAAGTGAAAATATGCAATAGTTGGGTGGTTGGATTAATTTATCCTAAAATTTGTAATTTTAAAATTTAGAGTTTAGAATTTTGACATATAATTATATTTAGAAACTGTTTATATAAAATATTGTACTGATAATGTATCAAATATTAACTCTTAAAAATTCTCATATGAAATATATCTTTTATTTATTTATTTATTAATAAGTTAAATTAAAATAATAATAATAATAAATAATTGAAATAAAAAAATCTATACCCAATGTTGTTGGGCCTCATGGCTACTAATCCTCCTCGTTTCATTTTCTCAGTTGTCTCAAAAATCTCTCGAGCCTTCAACGAAGAAAAATCCAAGCCTCACCTTGCGACGATCCCCAGTTGCTGCAGCCTGCAGGTAATCTCCTTCTTTTAGCAAATGCATTGAAATTTAACTTCTCAGTTCATTAGCTAAACCTTGTATTACTGTGTTTTTTTCTATATTGCTTCCAAAGAGTGGAAACTATCAACCTTTACTCAAATTTCCATTCTTCTCTATTGATTCTCGACTGAACGCCATTTTATTTGCTCCTAAAAGTTTGGGGCAATTTGATTTTATAACTTCACGATCAGTTTATACGCTTGGTAGGTTCCTTTCCCGTACTACACCTGTTGGAAGGAATTAATGAAATAAAAATTGTACCCTTTAGGAAACATTAGGAGAGATTGTAATTCTACGTTGGTAACTTGGTAAGGATTATTTAATTTAATTACAATTGAGAAATTTTAAATTTTCTTGCTTTTTAATTGGAGGTGGTTTTTACTGACAGAAGGTTAATTTTCCTAGGCAATGTGTTGAGAGATTCTGTTATTCTATTTTCATTTGCTCTTTATCTGTGGGTTGAGCTTTTGGAGTGTTTTTTGTTTTAATTCATAAAAATTGTTAGGTAAGTAGATTATATCATTTTCCAGGTAACATGAATAAAGTTAGTCAAAACTCACCCTTGTTTAGGAGATTATTGCATTCGTTATCTCGCGATGGTCCTTCCGAAACTTTGAAGATAAAGATTGCTGAAATTCAGAAGACGAGGAAAAGAAGGAATCTCAAGAAGGATCAGTTGTTTGTGGAGGTTCCCGAATCGAGATCCTTTCTAGATACAGCAACGCTGCCGATGGTTCTTGCTGTTGCTGGAATTGCACTGTTTGCGAAACTGCTCATGATGGTTTGTTCTTTCAATCTGTGTTTTTACTGGGAATGCTCTTCATTTACATAGTTTGATGATTGCTTCTAGCTGGTCAGTTTGAGAAACTACATGCTTTTCCAGGCTGCCTTGATTGTGCAAAGCTCAATATGTTATATTGTCATCTATGGATAATGAAATATAGAGTGTAGAATAATCATTGCTAAAAGCATTTCTTCTGGAAGTTTATTCTTATTGGTTGATAGTTCAAACAGTTTATAGAAATCCTTATTGTTTATGTTATCACTCTGGATAACCCACTGTTTCATTCTGCACAATGACTTAATACAGGGTATTGGGAAAAGAAAGAAAATTTGGACTAGAAACAAGACACTAGTTGTAGAATGAGCTGATTTATTTATTTATGTTATTTTGTCAGTCACGTACTCTTCTTGCCTAGATGAAACAGTATATGAACCTTCTCAAATCACTCATCACCATACCTTAAATTTCCTATTTTGAGGCTTTATGAATTGTCTTCTGACAGTTGCATGTCTCATGGACTGCACTTGTTTAGTATTTATTAATGAATGCGGAGATTTTTATATTGATATTTTGTGCATTGGCAGCATGATGAATCGAAGTCCCAGGAAATGATCGAGCGAAAGATAAAGAATGCTCCTTCTGGTCAAGGCACGGTCAGGATGCTTACTCATGAGGAGTGGGAAGAAATTAGAGAAGTCAGACCAAGAACTCCTTTTGAATCCAAGCTTGCTCGTCCAAATGCAAAAATAAGAACCGGAGAAACATTGCATATGGTAAGCCACATATCTGAGTACAATTTTATTTGATGGATGAATATATGTATCTGTTCTTTTTTCTTATTGATGGCGGCTGTACCTTTTTATGCATGCATCGAATGCATTTAGATGATTTTCGTATCAGCTAATAATATGCTAAAGAAAGACCCTTGACCTTGATGGTTTTCAAATCTTGCTGATTTTTGTTTGTATGTAGGAGGACTTGAAGAATTGGACAATTGATGTTCTTACAGATGCAGTAACGCGAGCTGAAAACTGTTCGAAACGTAAGTAGAACTGATATCACGCTAGAAGACTTTGCCATTTGAGTACAAATATAATTCTTTGATGGAATTGAGAACCGTTAGTGATTCTGATGCCTAGTGTGAATAATTATGCAAATCTGCCTATGGGGAAATGGTTCAAATGGATTTGCATGGGGATTTAACTACAGCCAATGAATGATTGGATCTTTAGCAGATTTATAGAGGCATATAGTGTATAACATGTTGTGACATCGTCTTGGGTTTTTTCCCTAAAAAAGGATGTTTATATTTGCACAACTTTGATTTCTTTTAATTTTAAATTTTCATTATTGTTTGCCTCAAAGAACTTGTGAATCTTGAGGGTTCCTTCTACTATAGTTGAGTGCAAATGAAGTTAGGCAAAGCAACCATGAAGTTCTTCAAGATATTTGATTTTTCCCCTTTATTTTCTATGTTCATTTTACTGTTTATGCTCAGCATTTATGATTGGCCTTTTCAATAATGTCATTTTCAAAGTTCGAATGTAGATTCTCTGTTTGAGATTATATGTATCTTATCAATAGCAGGAGATTTGTTATCTACACTTTGGAAGCTCTTCTTCCCACGTATACTTGAGTAACCTTGCATCCATGTGAATGTTGAAAAATTGAATTTTCCAAATCGCAACTTCAATTTTTGATAGATTAATGGTTGTTTTATATATGATACAACTTTTAGTTCTTTGAAGAGACAATGCCCTAATTTCACTTATGTATAGAATATTTAATTTTAAATCGTTGTAAGTTTAAATTATTTATTCAATTTAAAAATCAAATCTTTATTTCCCTTTTTGTTCCTTGGCAACGTCTGTAGAAATAAATAGAAAATCAATGAAAGAGAAAATGAAACATCATCAATATAGTGGTCCAAAATATCATCGAGTAGCAGCCAGCTCAACTTTTGCTTTTGTTAGGTTCAGAAGGAAATCTGAAGCAGACTTAGCGGTCCGTAGAGCTGATGGGAGGATTATCGATGGCTTTAAGATTAGAGTTTTTCACGACAACAAGGGAGATCCAAAGTTTCAGAGGTCTGTTGATGACAGAAATATCAACAAAGTTTGGTTACCCTCGATAAGGGATTCCAGGTCTTTCAAGGAAGTAGTCAGAGGGGATTAGTTTGTTGAAGGAGGAGTTAAGGAACATGTCGATTTTTCTCAGTGTTCTATATTATCAGGTAAGGATAATGTGATTCATGTGATGTTTGAGGATGATAAAGCTGTGAGGAAAACTTCTCAAAACGGAGAGGAAAACAAGATCATTCGTATTGCAGAGAAGGAGGTCGCGTGGAGACAATCTTGTTTGGTCGGAAAAATAAAAAATATGTATAATGAAGATATAGTTCAAACTGCTTTCTGTGCGGATGGATTAGATGTGAAGGTAAGTATCTGGCATGAATTACTAGTGGTTTTACAATTCAAATATGAATCTGCTCGACAGGGTGTGTGGCAAAATAGGAGCATTGGGTTTCTCTATGGTTTGACGAGCTGGAATTGTTGGAGGGTTATGAGAACAAACTTAGAGTTAAAACTTGGATTCTTCTGTCGGACGTTCCATTATTAGTGTGGAGTGAAAGTTTCTTCATGAATTTGGGAAGTTTGTGGGGTAAAGTGTTGTTGGTTGATGAAGATACTTGTAATAGGTCAAGGTTTGATGTAGCTAAGATTTTGTTGGAAGTTCAGTGTGCTTCGGAAATCCCAGAAAAAGTTTCCATTGTCTGTAATGGAAGATTATATTCCATTAAAATTACAACAGAAGCTCAGGAAGAGAGTCGAATGTTCATAGATGGATTGATGCCTGGTGGTGGTCAGTGGTGCCCGATGCTGGGGTAGCGAGTAAGGAGAAATTGATAGAAGATGTCCATGTTTACGGGTCAGGTTCTGAGGACGCATTTAATTCGGCTGCTCCGCATGCTTCGCACTGCCAGAGGAGTGAAAATGTCAACGGACTGATGGAAGTTAGTAGGGGACATGGGGAGGCTGAGGTGGAAATGAGGGTTATTGTGAATGAGGCCTTGCATGAGGTGCCGATTTTTGAAAATATTGGGCCTAAGGATCTGTTTGCGGACGATAGTGTCGGGTATATGGAACTAAATAGAGATGGTGGGGCATGTTTGGGGACCCAATCTGTTTCTAACAGTTCTAGGCTAGACATCCCCATTGATGAGGTATCTTCCTTTAGGATAGAGGGAGAGGGCCCTACTCAATATTCTCCCAGGGGATTATCGGTTCATTCATCCTCGAAGCGTGTCCAGGACCGATCTAATTCTCAAAATAACATTATTCCTAGCGCTGATAAAGGAATGAACGGGGTTGAAATTAATAATCGCTCTACAAGTTCAGCTCTAAAAGAAAGAAAGAAGAGTTTACTAGAAGAAAAATTGTTACAAATTGCAAAAAAGGGTTACAGTTAATCAAACTAATTCGGCAAGGGAGATCAGTGCTGGTTCGGAGGGTTTACAAAATGAAGCGGAGGCTACTTCAGTTGGAGAGGCTCTGGGTGTTGTATTCTTGCTTCGAAAGAGGTGGTCATCCACTGTTTCTGTTGAACGTTTTAAAGGGCAGATTTGAAAGGGGTCTGATATTTGCGCCTACGGAGGAGCCTCGGGAGGCCTCATTACTTATGGGACAGTAGTATTTTTTATGAATAACAATGTTGTTTCTAGGCGAATTGCTCTTAAAGGCAGACTGATGTTGAACAATTTAGAGATGGTATTATAACGTCTATGGGCCAAATCTTCATAGTGAAAGGTGCGATTTTTTCGAGCAATTAAGTAATGTTATCTCAAGTTTCAAGTGTCCAGTTGTGGTGGGGGGATTTCAATGTTGTAAGGTATGTTTTTGAAAGAATAGGGGCTTCTGATTTTCCTGCTGCAAGGAGATTGTTTGAAGAGTTCATTTCTAGGTGGGATTTGTTCGAAGTCCCAACACTGGGCAGTATTTTCACTTGGTTTAGGGGTGGGTCGTCTGTGATTGTAGTAGATTAGACATGATACTTATTTCTCCTGAAATTGCCTGCTTATATCCTGATTTGGTGCAGCTTTCTCTTCCAAGAAGTGTATCGGATCATAATCCGGTAGTCTTAAAAGAAAGGAAACATAGAAAAATTGTTAGGCCCTTCAAATGGTTTAATCATTGGGCTAAAGACTCAATTCTTGTGGACAAAATTAAGTTTGTGTGGGAATCGAATAGAGGCAATAACATATCGCAATCATTCTTGCTTACAAAGGCTGTCACTAAAGAAAGAGCAAGATTTTTACGTGAGAGGAGTTCTGATTCTGTGGATAAGATTGGGAAGCTAATTGAAGAGTTAGAAACAAGATGTATTTCGAATCAGAATTCTTCCACTGCCCAGTCTGATCTTGTGGTAATGAAGGCTCGTTTGTGGTCTCTGTTGCGGAGAGAAGAACGTGAGTGGCTTCAAAAATCTAGACTTAGGTGGTTTAAGGAAGGGGATAGGAATACGAAATTCTTTCATTTAACTGCTTCATCAAGAGCTAAAAGAAATCAGATTTCTAAATTGAAGATGCAGAATTTGGTTTTAAAACAGCAAGCTAGGATTCAGAACGCCTTTGTTTCTTACTTTCGGGTTTCCTTCAATGAAGTTAAGACTATTCCAGTTAAAAATTGGGACATTCCAGTTAAGAGATTGTGTGCTGGTTCGAGACGGTTGTTGGAAAGTCCGTTTTCAGAGGTAGAGGTGTGGTCTGTTATTAATTCGTCTGATGGTTCGAGAGCGCCGGGTCCAGACGGCTTCAACTTGGATTTTTTTTAAAAAAAATTGGAATGTTATCAAGGAAGATGTTATGTTGTTTATGACTGAGTTTTATTGGGGTAGAATTGAGGACCAGTCTTTTAACAAATCGTATATCGCTCTAATCCCGAAGGTTAATGAGGCGGTTCATCTAGAGGATTTCAGACCGATTTCTCTGGTGGGAAGTTTGTATAAAATAGTGTCTCGGGTTTTGGCAAAGAGAATGGCTAGTTGTCTTAATGAAGTTATAGGGGAATATCAGTTTGCTTTTATCTCGGGAAAGCAGATCGCGGATTGTATACTAATTGCTAATGAAGTTATCGATGACATGTTCAAGAAGAAGAAAGAAGCTGTGATTTTTAAGGCTGATTTTAGCAAAGCCTATGATACTGTTGACTGGAATTTTTTTAACTTTATTCTTAAGAAGATGGGCTTCGGAAAAAGATGGAGAAAATGGGTATATTTATGCATTTCGACCCCATCCATTGCAGTATTAGTTAATGGATGTCCGTCTAGTAGTTTTTCAATCAAAAGAGGTCTAAGGCAGGGTTGTCCCCTTTCGCCAATGCTCTTTAACGTTGTTGGGGAGGCACTAAGTGACATGTTATTGAAAGCGTCTGCAAATGGGTTGTGTGAAGGTGTTGGTGTTGGGTCCGGAGACAAACTTATCACACATTCAATTTGCTGATGACTTATTGATCTTTTCGGCAGCAAATGTTGTGAGTTTATTGAATTTCAATCGTGTTTTAAAAATTTTTGAGTTGGCTGCAGGATTGAAATTAAATATGAAGAAATCAAAGATTTTCGGGATCAATGTCAATGAAAATAGGATAAGTAGCTGGGCGAATTTGTTGAATTGTGGATGGGATTCTCTTCCTACGACATACTTGGGTCTTCCGTTGGGACATAAAAAGAACTCGAAGACTCTATGGCAACCAGTGTTGGATAAGGTTCAACTGCGCCTACAGAGTTGGAAAAGCAAGTTTCTATCTTTTGCGGGCAGAATCACTCTAGTCAGATCTGTGTTATCTAATTTACCTGTCTATTATATGTCATTATTTCCTATTCCTAAGTCTGTCGCAGCTTCTATTGATAAATGCATAGCTTCGTTTGTCTGGAAAGGAAATTCGGATAGAGGAATTCACTGGTTAAAATGGCAAACAATATGTGGGCCGAGATCACATTTGGGTTTAGGTATCTATGACGTCAAAACGAGGAATAGAGCGTTACTCAACAAATGGATTTGGCGTTTTAGTCAGGAGAGTGACAGTCTTTGGAAAAAAATAATTGTAGATAAGTACAATTACGGTTCTGATTCTCTTGTTCCAAAAGAGACTAACTTGCGTAATGCTTCTTGGGTATGGTGTAATATTATTAATCAGGCTGCTTCATTTGAAGGAAATGTGAGAAAGGATTTTATTTGCGTTATTGGTAATGGTGATAAAATAGATTTTTGGAATGATCATTGGTCTGAAATGCTTTCCCTTAAAGTATCCTTTCCTAGAATCT